AAATTTTTAATTCATGAGAGACGAAGTACAGTAATCTGCTATTTTCACGGTGACTTAGTTGTTTGTGCATTGTGTTGGCTACAAAAAAAGATAGAAGAAAAGCTGCAGCTTGTTATTACTTATTAGCTTCGCAAACAAAGAGATCTCACAAAATGTGGGTACGCGATTGGATTAAACAAAGAGAAAACCACAATTTAATGAATAATCTATTGGAAAAATCAGAACGGGAGGATGAGGAATGTTACAAGAATTTTCTCAGGATGTCTGCTGCTGACTTTCAGTATTTACTTAGCAAAATAAAGCCTGCAATAGAAAAACAGAATACACTCATGCGAAATTCAATTCCAGCAGCTGAGCGACTAGCACCAACGCTTCGATTTCTATTTGTTTCAAATACCAGTATGTACTATATCGAGAATTATACCTGGAGTGTGCTCGGCAATTTATAATATTTTAAAAGAAGAATAGCTACACGTAAGTTCCATAATTCGTTTATTTCATAAAGTAGTATTTACAGATTAAAAAATGTAGATTCACAATTTTCATCATAGTTTGTAATATTATCCATGCCGTTATTCTCACCATCAACAGTGTCTTCAGTTAAATCATTAACCGGTCATTGTGTCAATACCGGCAATGGAGAACCAATTTCACAACTAGTTCGAGTGGACAGCTGTGAGTCCAAAGAATTATTATCAAGCAAAATATCTGAATTTTTATAAACGGATATTTGCGATTGAAAAAAAGCACCATTTTCTAGTAGTCTGGACTCATAATTGTCATTCATGTCTGAAATAAGTCGCTGAATTTCTCGTTTTGCATATCCTTGCAAATCAGGGGCTTTTAAGTGCATGTTACGCAATTCATCCGCCACATAATCTCCAAATATTTCGAAGGAATCTGCTATCTTCGACATAACTCCAACACATCGTTCCAGTAAGGCTTGTTGGTCATTTTTCTTGTTCTTTTTTTTTTAACGTTGACGGGGCTTGGGTTATGTCCTGCGACGTAGATGATGATGGTGTGAAATCACGTGATGTAGATGTAGATGGCATTGGAGTGTTGCAACGTGAAGTATCTGTAGAGTCTTTTGAATGATTAGTTCCTTGATCTTCTGATAAATAACTCGATTCGTTATCAGTCGAATCTTCTTCGTTGATCTAAAAAAAGATTGTGTCAGAAACATAAATCATTATTATAGCTGTTTATATTTGTATTAAGCATTTCTGCTTCAACGTAGTTTTTTCTCATTTCCAGACACCAACCACTGAAGATGAATGGCTAGAAATTTCACAGCAATTTAATGAGAAATGGAACTTTCCAAACTGCTTAGGTGGCCTTTATGGTAAACACGTACATAGTAAAGCACCTAAACATAGTGGAAGCCTCTTTTATAATTATAAAGGCATGCAAAGTACTGTTTTGATGGCACTGGCTGACGCAGATTATAAATTTCTATACATTAATATAGGAAGTATGGGGCGAATTTCTGATGGAGGAGTTTTTAACACGTGCTCCTTGGCAACAAAACTTGGAAATAATAGTTTAAATATTCCAAAACCAAGGCCACTCGCAGGACGGAATAAGCCCATTCCATTTGTAGCAGATGATGCTTTTGCCATGAAATTATATATTATGAAACCTTACGCGTTTAGAAATTTGCGTGGTGGACAAAGGGTGTTTAACTACCGACTGTCTCGTGCAAGACAAATAATTGAAAATTGTTTTGGCATTGCTTCAGCTGGGTTCCGTGTTTTAAGAAAACCAATTGAATTAGAACCTGAAAAAGTGTTCATTATAGTTTCGGCAATATGCGTTTTACATAATTTTTTAACGACCCGTTCTCGAAAGCTTTATGCTCCTAATGGCACGTTTGATGTTGAAGATTACGAAAATGGTACTGTTCAACCTGGTGAATGGCGACAACACACTCAAGCCTTACTGCCACTTCAAGTTAATCGAAATATTCCAGGAAATCTCTATACCAGAGAAGTACGAGAAGAATTAACTAAGTACTTTCAAGAGGAAGGTGAAGTTCCGTGGCAATATAAATATATATAAACTACTATGTTTGGTTCCTTTGCACAAGCATAGGGATCGGGCTGCGATTCTCTAGTGTTTAAGCAATGTATACATAAATAATAATAAAATTATACTTACCAATGAGTCTATTTTGTTTCATTTAGACCACTTGTTGACAAGTCTATGAATTTTAGAGCTTCATAAAACTCCCATTTTGTCACAAAGTTATTCCCTGTAGCCCGACCGCTTTTAGTTTTTTTCTTCTTTCTATTGCTACTTTGGAATTGGCATCAAAGACTATGAATTTTATCATTTACTTCTTGAACGGATATGCCCATAACTTCCGATATAGCATCAATGGAGGTTTTTCTAGCCATACGATTTTTATACTGCTCTAAAGAGCAATCCCATAAATTGTAATGGGATTCGTAAAGTTCTATCAATTTTAGTGTCATTTGTCGTGACCAATTGACTTTTTTTCTCTACTTCACTCATTGTTCCAATTAAAAAAGTGAGCGACGAACGTTATTTTTTTATGTAAACACACTAACGATTAGCGTATACAGATTTTGTTTCACGAAGAACGCCAAAACTCATGAGCAGCAAGTGAAACAAATATTTCACATGAAACAAGACGCATATCGCGTATACAAGTTGAAACTTGCCCATGAAACAAATGTCTCGTGAAATATTGTGTCATGAAATTTTTGACAATATTTCGCGTAATTCGATAGTGTTTCCACTGTGAAACATGAAAGTTTTAACTCATGACACAAAAATTTCATGATAAACTTTCATCGTGGATGCTTACCTTTAGTACTTCATCATTTTTCTATACAATTCATGTGAATTTCTCTCTGAAGGATTAGTAGTGACTTGTCGATTACATTTTTCTTCAGTTTCTTTTAACTTTTAACTAGATTAACTCTCGCGAAAAAATATCTGATCGAATACGTATTCAAAAACTGGCACACTACCACGGGATTATTCATGGCTATAATTTTTATATCACTTTGTATCGTGCGATTTTGTCGGTTTGTTAACTTCTTGAAGTTGATGTAAATATTCATCGATTTTTTTAATGAAATCAAGTTTAAATATATGCATGGTAACAAAGCATTTTTACAAGTATAACTTCACTAGACATGTTTTGCTACACAGTAGCTTCCTTGGTCGAACTGGATCTTTCACCAGTTTGACTGCGCAAGGTACCATGTAGCGAATACAATGTGGTGAATTTCAAACTGTTACGGAGGTTCGAAATAGATGAACACTTTAATCTAGCAGACCACTATTATAATCTTCATGCAGTCATTGTTTCTGTGGTTCTGGCGTTGAATCTGATTATTATTATGCCTTGGTCAAAGACGAAACGGACTGGTTTAAGTTTGACGATAGTCGTGTCACTAAATATTCTGCCGATATCTTGAATTTATTGGAGCCTCTGGAGACAACCTACATTTTATTCTATGAAAAAGAGGATATTGGCAGATCAAGATCTTCAAATGATGTGTTGCTGCAGGTTTTCTGGGTTTCCCTGCGATTATTAAAAAAGCGAATGCGCCACTGGAATCGATCAAGTCGGCCCGAAGCGCTAATCAATTTTTGTTGTTGTTTCATGATTTCATAATTCGTATTACTCTCGTATCATGATTTAAAATAACAATGGGAAATGCTCCTCCTGACGAAAATCAAGTAGTTTTCATGAAAGGGCTCTAAAACAACGCATTTTAAACTTATCATTTCAACCTTTTCCTTTAAAAAATTATTTAACTACTTAAAAAAGAGGAATGAAATAATGCATTCAACATTTAAAGGGATAGGTTTCTATTTCACCATTTGGCTACATCGGTTATAGCTAATAAAGAACAATGAATCTGTTACCTATATGAGACAAACAAAGATGACATATATCAGAGGCGTGCTGTTCTGTTCACTTATGTTCCGAGTTCCGAGACATTCTGTGACATATGATATTTTGTGCACCCAACCTATCTTACTCTATATAAATAAATAACAAAACAACTGTTGTTTATGTGGCTTGTGAAGGTGGTATTGAACTATAATTTATATTTTGCCTCAATTGTTGATTTATAAAGATGATTTTTTTTTAAAGTAGAATATCTAGGTACGTATAAATTATTTCAACTTGATATAGGTGCTGTTGCCATACTTGTAAGGGATTTTCTTTATACGTAATCAGCCAACTATAATTTCATAAAATAAAAAAATACGTTAGATAATTTCCCAAAAAACCATCAAGATTGTCATGATAAAAATAACTGAAAAATAGTCTTTCCCGTAGACAACCATTGCAACAAAATTTTGTTCTTTGGTTGCAAAATTGTTGATAGGTTAAACAGTTAGCAGTTGAGTAAAAGTTTGCCCGGTTTGAATGTCTTACAGGTGTTACAAACCCATATCATTTTTACAATATGTGTATGAAAATTTGCCTTCATTTCAATCCTATAGCTGCTGGAAGCATCTATAGGAAATGTGAAAAATTTCAACAATAAGAACTATTTTTCTATATTTTTTACCACTTCAAACTTATAAAATTTGAAAATGTCCGTATAGAAAGAAACTGCAGTAACGTTAGTTACAAAAAAAAAGTGGTAGAAAACACAGAAAGTTCAATTTCTCCTTTCTTCATCCTACCACGTAGTAATAGCTACATCTATCAATTTATTGAAACAACTTTTCATTTTTTGGACAAATTAGTTGAAGAAATTCAAGCCAGTATACAAAACACCATATTATTATGTGATATAACTATCATTATCATTATTTTGCACTGACGGGTGCAATAAATATGGAAATACTCATACCGGTAAAACTTCTACAATTCAATGAAAGTAGATAGACCTGATAAGAGACTGATAATATAGGGGGCGTGGTTAGTCGGAGATTATAAAGTCTTACCTACCTTCTCATTTCACTATTCTCAAAGTCCAGCGGTGGTGTAGTTAGTGTCAACCATGAAGACAGATTGTGAAGAGGCAGCGTACGAAAATCAAAAAAATTACATGGGGATGTTGATAACAGAACCGATTTCTCCAAGTTCCAGTGACAGAGAAGCCGATAACCATTCTGACAGGAGCAATCCTTATCAAATTGGGAGTGAACATTTGGTAAGTTTTTTGTATTTTGATTTTTATTTACTCGATAAGAGAACTCGTGAAAATGGAGATATAAATTCGGGACAGGTTGTTGAAGATTTGAAAACACAATCCTAAGCTCTATGAGACTTTATACACTAATGTCAAGACGTTAGCAATATTTGAAAATAAGTTCGGTTAATCAATACGAACAACAAACTTTTGTGAACTGCAATACGTTTTTCATATCACAATCATATTCTAACAAATATGAATTATTTCAATCAATTTTTGGCAATATGTAATTTTGTTGAGATACATATCTGTATATTTCTTCTTTCAATAGTAATAAAGCCGAAACTTCATTTCAAATCATCTTCGAATGCCCGATTTAAACTGTTATGAAACAAAACAAACAATGCCTTCAGAATTTGAATGAACTTATTCATGCTTTAGAGAATATAACTATCCCGGTAGCCAAAGAAATCTCAGAATATATCTGGAACATTCTCAGGTTACGTTCATTTATATTGAGTGAATGATGGTTAGTTTATTATACTTTCAATATTTTACAATCCACTGTTAGCAGATTGTCATTTGATTAATTTATCTTTATACGTATATAGATAAAGGAGTTTTTTAATCGGACATAGCACTCAAGGAAGTGGCAAACCATAGACACGTGTTTCGGGCTTTTGGTTCATCATTAGTATGGTGCAGCCAAGTGTAAGGATGGGCAACACTTGGTTACCAGAAGAAATAAATACAAATGCACGGAGCCACCAGCAGGAGCCAGCCGCACATTTGTGGTTTCACTTAATAGATCTTGTGTTTACAAGACAACACGTGTCTATGGTTTGCCACTTCCTTGAGTGCTATGTCCGATTAAAAAACTCCTTTATCTATATCAAGACACTCGATAACCTTCGCATTTAGGTTTTGCAAACATAGAGATTCGGGAAGTTTTAGAAAAACTTAAAGAGGGAATTTTCAAAAAAAAGTGTTATATGAAAATGAAAAGAAAAAAAATTAAAATATCTTTAAAATATTATTGGAGTTTTTTCCCAACACAACACCAAACCGTTATTTTGACATCTCGACACCATCTCGTCCACCATCGTTATTCATAATATTACTACGTTTACTTATTTCTACACTCTCATTACCAAATTACCAACAGGCATCTAGATAGATTTATCTAACCTTAATGGACCTAATGAAGTAAAGTCTATGGAATGGATTTGTTGCAAAATATGATGGGCGACTGCTGATTTTTCTGGTCTTCCATATTTTAAGTGTGCCAAGTGCTCCTTATATCTTATTTTCTAATGAATCTTTCTGTCTGTCCATTATATTTTGCATCACAGTCCTTACATTTAATTTCGTGAATTCCATCAAATATCTTTTGTTTACGTTGTCCTGAATTGAAAACAAATCCTTCATTTTTAGATGAGGACTTCCACTTGAGACACTATGTGTTAATGTAGGGTATATACTATCCATATGCCAAATTGATGTCAAGTTGATTCCAGACGTTCAGTTTATTGGAGGAAACGATGTCTTTAGGTTACTTGCCGTATAGTTAAACCGAATTTATATAGTTTTAAGTAAAACGTCCAAACATACTTCAAGTTCAGAGACTACATATCGGTCCACAGTGAAGAATTGACAGAATATTTGTCTGTAAATGACGCGCATTCTGTGGTGCATATGTAATTTTTTAAGCTAAATATTTATATATATCTTCATTATGGCGTCCTAAAAGCTGTCTCAAAAGTCTCATGCAAGGTTGGTTCCAACCAGCGTCAGAAACAGTTTCTGAGAGTCAAGATTCTGCGCAGTAATGTGATTGTGTTCCAACGTGAGTTTCCAACCATTAGTAAAATATCAGTTTTCTGTTCCATCCAAGACTCAAACCTGTTCGAAATCTATCAGAATGGTTTGAGGATTATCTTCTAACCATTAATCTGACGCATGCGTATTCCGTATTACTGTTTCTGTTTTATGTTCATGCAACTTGCAAACAACATAACCTGCAAAAATTGTTATAAACTAAATTATGTATTTGCTGGTGCAGGAAAAATAAATTAGGAATTCTTTAAGTGAACCTAAAATATGAACATCTTTAATTACAAAAATTAATTATTGCGGTGACCTCCCAGTTCCATGTTGATTAGTAAATAGAATAGAGATATAAAATACTGCAACCTTCTTTCACTCTCTAGAAATACACTTGATTAGATTAATTTTTAAAGGTTATGTTAAAATTCCATGCCAAACTTCAGTTGAACTATCAGCTGTTCCAATCAGTAATTTCAAATTGATCAGAAACCAATATTTACCAGACATGCGCGTTGACAACGATTTACAAACAGTTGGAAATCTGTTTGTGACTCAAGGTTGGAACGAACCTATTATCTCGTGTCTGTACCGGAAGTTAAACGAGGTCAAAGGTAAAAAAAAACAGTTTTTTGCGGTCATCTCAGTTTCTTCTATTGCTCCAATGATGTTAACATGTATTATAAAAATTATAAAGCATACAATTTAGAATATATTTTATTTGAATTTTTTTTTCATGCGCTCAATCGTTATTGAGATAGAGGGCGGTAAACGTGCAGCGTGCGTACTGTAATCCAAGATCAACCGTGAATATCTGTGAATGATATCTTCAATTTTGAATAATTTGTATTATTTATCAGTTAACATATTATATTTAACAACATTCTACAATTCACTTATATTAATTTAATAATACTAGTAATAGTGTATGAAAAATCAGTAATCTTTTCTGTAATATCCCTCGCTTTTTTTCACTATAATCAGGACTGGATTCAAGGAAAGACAGGTGGCAATTCAAAAGGAACTTTTGCTTTTTTCCCCAAACTTTTGAATTTTCACTTAGAATACTTGCACAAACAATAATATTATTATCAATATACCGACTTACCATCATTATTTGATTTATTCGATCGAGCACTTCGGTGGCGATACTTTTTTCAATGTGTACTTTGTAATTTGAATCCATGAGTTGAAGAGAAATAAAATAGTTAAAAAATCTTCTTGCTTCGTCTAGGTCAAAATTCCAAAAGTTATTTGACGAAATCACTTGAATGTACAGTTTCAAACGAAACTATTTATTGAACGCGTTGATTTTCCCCGGAAAGTTAAAAAAACAACTTTCATAAAAAAATTAATGAGCTCATCGTGTTCCCTTAGTCCTATATGTATATCAGATTAATTAGTTTTGAACAACTGTTATTTTTTATAGCAATAAAATTGGGGGCTCCACCCCTTCGTTGCTCCAGGGCCTCTAGACTTCCAATTCCGGCCCTGACTTTATATGGGTGATTATATGGGGGATTCATATGGGATTCATCAAAAATTAAGAAGAAAGCGATGTTTCTTCTGATTTTTCAAAAATTTAAATTTCATTTTCGGTGTTCATGAATTTCAAATCATGTCATGATGTCTTCTTTTTTTTAATTTGTTCTAGACATACATTTTCAAAATATATATGCCAAGGTTGTGTTTCACCAATTAACATTGGTATTGTTTCGAAATAAATCTAGTCTAACTTCGTGCTTGTGAGAAATTGGATAAGAGTATTGAACATCTTGAATCAGTTGTTTAAAAGCAACTTTGTTGACGTGGAATTAAAACGGTCAATAAATTTTGGTGAATCAACATAACTGGCAATGTTTCCAATGAAGTGAGTTTTCAATTTCATGTCATTTTTTCAGTACAATCCATCACCAGGAGATAATGCTAGTGGAGACAGGAATCCGGAAGTTGTTCAATACGAAGGATCTGTTTACAGTTTGCAGTTGCCTTACAATATCGAACAGCCAGGAAGTGTTCTCACTCTCACTCCAACAGGTGAGTGTTTTATCTGGCCCTTATCTTGCAATAATACATTTTCGTAAAAGCCACGAGTCTTTTACCAGAACCGACCTTAGATTATTTTGAGCGAAATAACGGTCTTGGGAAGTCACATCTTACTACAAAAAATAAGTGTTCAACTTTTCAGAATGCTCAACTTCTGGTTATTGAACCCTTATCTGTGACTGATAAACTATTTCATTTTAGTTTTCAGGAATCACTTCTTTTCTCATTGAAAAGTGGGACATATTTATTAAACTTTCATTGTTGGCCTTGAACTTTTTCCGAAACTATGATTCTTAGTTTTCGAATAATCACAGGAATTTCAGGTGACTAATTGTTCGCTGTGATTATGATTGGCAGAATCTTGTCTGTGACTTATTAATCCCTTGGACATGTAGAAAATTGCTAACTACAGTCCATTTGTTGTGTATACTGAAATTAGTTTTGGTTCTTTCAGTCTCTTAGGCTAATTCTTTCCTCTCATTCAAAATAGGTTTTTCGGTAATAGTGTACCGCCGCCTTACGAACAACAACCTTCAATGAATATGTAGTGTATCTGTAGAGTAGGGAGGGTAGGTCCTCCCTACTTAGACCACATGTGACCCATTATACATCCTCCCGAGGAGTTGTCCTCCTAGGACATCGTCCATCCTGTCCTTTCCAGGATGGTGGACAGGTTACTGAGAGACATCTACTTTACATCGGCAGGTATAGGCCAAGACTCGCCGATCACACACCCTCTTATAGAAGGACATTCTGGACACTCGCATAGGACATGACAGTCTCATCTTTCTGTTCTGATCTCCTGCATAGAGGTGTATCCTCTAGCCCCATACTGTGGAGGTGTTTCCTTAGTTGACAGTGGTCAGTCAAAAAACCTACTGTTAAGCGTAGCTTTTTCCTGGTCATCGCCAAATATTTCTTCGGTTCCAGCTTTCCAGGGTCGCCCAGGGTGATCCAGACAAGATTACATCCTTTGATTCCATCCCATCTCTTCAGGGATTGAGCATAGGTGTGACGTTTGGCTAGTTCCGCAGTTGTCAAAGTCATCAGGCCGTAGGTGCCACTGGGTCTTAAAATTCTTAGTCCAGCCGCTTCCTTGGCAACGGAGTCGGCAATATGAATACCTTCACTCTTGTCGTGCCCTTTTACCCACCTCAGGATAATGTTATTATCTACCCCGTCTTTGGCTAAATCTTGGGATGGTGTCTCTTATCAAGATGAAATCGGAAGAAAACCCAAATCAACAATATCAAAGATGAACAACGCTACCAGTGGCAATTCTTTGCAAAGCTTAGTTTCGATATCGACTTATTGAGGTTTTAACTTTCAACGTGTGGAAACTAGCACCCTGAAGAACAAAGTGAACAATGCGTTTATCAGTCCATCCCAATTTTATCAATTGGATGAACTCCTAAGTGGTTCAGAATGAGCAAGTTACTGTATACTAGATCCAGATCCTTGAATTTCATTCTCAACTAGGTTTCATTCCATTAACTTTGGATAAATACGTAGGACCAGACTATTTTGAATGATTATTTTGTCCAACCGCTATTGAACCTAGGCGTATTTCTGTTAACCTTCTGTTGAGTTTCTGCTTCTTTCGGTAACTTTCTGAAACGATAACTTCTGAGATTTTAAATTGGGTTGAACTCACATCAATATTTACAGCACTCTATTCTCCATCGAATTTTCAATTGGTAGCGTAGTTGGCTTTATCTGACTCCATTTAATTGCATCAACAACTCTTTCTCTTTGCTATTTGTATTCTTTCGAAAGCATCCGAATATGCGATCAGAACAACGGCAGACAGTGCGACACTAGCCTTTTCTGGTCTCTGAAATCGCATATGTACTGTGTGTTCTTTGAAAGGAGTGTTAAAGTCTCATTCAGTCTGAACGGTATAATTTTTGTCACAGTGCCACACAGCTCATTCCAAGATATTTACAACTTTTATTCTATCAGCAACATTGCTGTTCACGACTTTTCATAAAACATAACGGGAAGTATTTATTATGAAATGCTGCCACATATATATCGATCTAATTTCACAACACAACAAAGTTTTTGTTTCGGGGTTGAACTTAGATGATTTCAATGTATTTCCACGTGTTGAAACCGAAAGTGACCATAAAAATTATATATTAGCTCTTGTTTTCAAGATATAGTATCATTATATTATATATATGTATATTGAGTTTTCAACAAATGAAATATTTCATCACCAACAGTTGGTACACATGTTTGTTTACATAACACCCCTCTCATCAGCTGTTCTTAAGTAGTAAACATATTTATCACCCCAAAATTAGTAGAAATTGACTAATTTAGTGTAGGAAACATTCAAAAAATATTTTTTTGTTGTGTTGTGTTTTTTTTTGATAGTCCGGCCAATTTCAATATGGGTCTTACTACCGTGAAATATAGAGATGTGATTGTAGATATATTCAAGAAATAAGGGCTACACCTAATATCCTAAAAATTTTTTGGCCTTTTTACACAGTTTGACATCTTTGACTCATTTTTTTTTGTGGAAGACAATATCTCTGATCATAAAACTATTTTCGATAGGGCTCTTTCGTAAATTGAAACTCACACATTCAATAGTCCAATTATATGAATTGAAAGGAGTATATTGTTAGGAGAGATACATTTTCGGGAGAGATGGAGAAGTAGAAAACAGAAACCTTTCTTTTACGATTAAATATTCGATCAATATCTTTTTGAAGTACAACACAATCTCTAAATTACTTTAAAGCATTTGAAATCGTCTGCGAAAAGTAGTCCTTTGTGTGAGCAGAGTGTTATATCATTGATGAATAAAACAAATAGCAAATGCCCCTCTCTAGTCCCTGTGGAACACCTGAGTTCATTCCGTATAGATCAGGAATCGTTTCTGAAGAAATCTTGAATAAACCTTGACTACCACCAAATTTATTCTGTTTTGAAAGCAATATGACATGATACACCTCGTAAAAGCAGCTATTTTCAAAAAATGGTGTCGAATTGGTTTCTTTCTCGCTGTTCAAAGGCCCATGAAATTCAAATCATATCATGATGTCTTCATTTTTTCAATTGTTCGAAATATATCTTTCCCAAATATATTATATGCCAAGTTTGAGTATTACCAATTGTTCCCAATGATTTTTTTGTTCTAATTTCAGATAACCAAAGGATCCAACCAAACCACCTGAGTTCCAGCAGAACAGCTTCATCAAGCGGCCCTAAAAGAGCTCGAACGGCATACACATCAACACAATTGATTGAACTGGAGAAAGAGTTCCTCTCTGGCATGTACCTTTGCCGTCCAAGGAGAATCCAACTTGCCCAGTCTCTCAACCTCAGCGAACGTCAAATCAAAATCTGGTTCCAAAACAGGCGGATGAAATTCAAAAAGGAGAAGAAGAACGGCTCCCATGGTAGAGATCAAACCTCTCCAGATTTGTCTACCTCATCTAACAACTCCACGCCGAGACAAAGATTATCAACAGTGAAGTCAGAGGATTCCGAAATCGTAGAAAGACTTCTTAACCATTCTGCTCTGGTTCAAAATAACCAGTATATGCAGGCTCTGCCGAACTATACTGCTCCTCAGTACAATGCCCAGTGGGAGATGCCAGCAGACCGAATTATTGGCTATTCTAATCAATATTTGCCTTCCCAGAGTACATACGTTGGGCCAAATTTTGATGGGTACTATCCCCAGATGAACCATTATTTTCTAGGAAACTACGACCAGTTCAGTTCCTATATTGATCCTAGTAGAGAAGATGCGTCAAGAGTAGAACCAGGAAGTAATTCAATTGAACAACTGAATGAGCCTAGAGATGATTTCACTTCCAGAAGCTATATTAACTGGGACACCTGCCCTTCTTTGGGGATCGTTGGCAATACTGATAGTTTGACACAGTTATAAAATTGTTTTTGAAATGATTATTATAATGAAGAGAAACTTGAAAGACTCATACTAGTTTGGTTGATGGAAAGCCAAATATTAATGTGTTCTCTGTGGATGCTTTCTATTTGTCTGGAAGCTCTAGACTACACTTTTACAAAAACTTGTTGGTTCTACCAAGCTGTGATATGTGAAAATTTTCTGTATATTCTGTACTTAATTGAGGCTTATTTCATTTGAAGTAATTCACAATGAAGAATATTTTTCTTGATTTAGAATAACTTCTTTTATATATAGAGCTATTTGAAATAAAAATTTGGTAATTTTCATATGTTTTGATTTCTCAAAGGATGGATGATTTCTTTGAATACTACAAAAATCTTTTTGATTTTTCAATAGATTAGAATGACTAACTGTCTATTGTTCATCAGTGACGAGGAGAGTCACAATATGTTTTACCTGTTTGAGATCTGTTGTAGTTATATTGTTTGGAAAAATCACCAGGTACTTCACTTTTTCAATTTCACATAAAGATTCAGAAACATACTGAAAAATTAAAAAATAAATTAAATATCGATTAATGCAGTACCTACCTGTACTCAAATGGAAAACGTTTTGGATATAGATTTCTAAAATAATAATACATGGATGACTGGTGACAGATGTGACAGTAATATAATGATTTGAGCAATAATTACATGAACTAGTTGATTGCGTATAAACCCACCATTAGGTTGTGTGAAAATGGCTTAGCATTCGTACAAAAAACTGGTACACATTTTTCCATACTGTCGTTAAAAGGCTGAAAATGTATTTCATTCCGGAAAGTACATTGTCGAACATTGTTTGTACTTTAATTGTGCTACTGGTTATAGAATTTTCAAAATAAAGTTTATTTTAAATGCGTTTTACTGCACGGTAGCTCGATTAGTCACTGGTATTGGTGTACCAGTACACTTCAGATGACCAATATTTCCTCAAAAACATCTAGAGGTGTCAAATCAGGTGATCAAGTGGGCTATGCTCAGGAACAACGTATTCTTATCTACAGATTTGGATGAATAACAAACCTCAATTATATTTTAAATGACAGAAAAGGTGAATAGGCAAGCGTGATTTTATGGCCATCTGAAGTATACGTTACACAAGTAAGTAGCGCGCCTTCGGCGACATATGATTCAACACTATTATTGTTTTTACCAAAAAGTGAAAAACGATCCCTCTTTACGTAAATGTATGCAACTTTGATACCTTATTCCGTTGATAAATTAGATGTGGGAGCATTTTTAACTCTATCAAAACCTTTATTTTTGAATTGGGAAATGTATTTTTCCATATACTCGGTTCTTTTGATATTCAATATGAAAATGACATAGGACAATGAATTCAATATTGAAATGGATCTATGAAAATTATTCTAGAAAACCAGAAGCAGGGAAAGTTCCACCAAATTTATAATTTTTTTCATTTATGCTATGAAGATACACAGAAAGTATCAATTCAAAACAAAGAAATAATTTTATGTAGAAAAGAGAAATGAAACTTTCTTTGTTTTTCATCACTTATATTTGTAACTGGCGTTACTGGAGTTGCGTCCTTTAAGGACATTTTCAGACTTATACATTAACGTATGTTTGTGTATAAGTCGTTTAAGGAAATATGAAATGGAAAACTGTAAATCAGTACCTAAGTACTCCAATAGAAAAAGATTTGAAATTAGAGAAACTTTCCGACATGTTCATTATGCTAACTACACGTCCAGATATTTGTTTTGCAGTAAATTATTTAAGTCATTTTCAAGATTGTGCAGGAGAGGAACACTGGAAACAACTCAAGAGAATTTTAAGATATCTACGCGGAACTTCTGAACTGAACTTTGTTACAGGCGACGAGAAAAGGCTCCAGTAATTATTGGTTTTGCTGATTCTAATTTGGCAGTAGTTGAAGGGGAAACACACACATTTGTGTTTCACTTTGCTGCTTGCAATGTTGCTTGTGAAGGAATTTCATTGAAAAATCTGATAACTGACATGAGAATGGACTTTTGTAGTCCCATAGAAATATTTGAGGACAATCAGGGATGTATTCAGCTTTCCAAGAATCCCGATACAAAACGGTCCAAACATTGATATCAAATATCATTTCATCAGAGAAAAAGTAATGAGCAAGAAAATAGAGCTGAGATATGTGGAATCTAACAGGCAAAAAGCAGATATACTGACGAAAAGACTGATAAAAGATATGTTTTTAGAGCTCCGAAGTCTATTAGGATTGAATGATGGACTTCTTATTCAGGCGGGGTGTTGAGTTATGAATATGAGAACATCATTCAGTTTAGTTGATTTAAAATTTTATTTTATCTAGTTGTATACAGTTGCTATTGTGATTAAAAAAAAAAGTTTTTGTCAATCAAAGTCAAAAGAAGTATTTCATTTTCTTCAACTGAGGAAAGTTATTAATTCCAAAACATATATACCTAGTTTTGAGAAAAAACTGAAACATTGGATTGAGCAGCAACCTATCGCGATTATTCATAAAAATATTGATTTCAAAAACCAATATGCATCGTGATTCGCATATATTCACATTTTGTGGGATCAACCTATTTATACACCATCTCTTCTTTTTTTCTTCATGAATTGTAATTGTAATTCAACAAGGCAAATACATTATTATTATTATTATTGAATCTTTCTAATGAAAATTAGAAATATTTTTCTCTCCGAAAATTTCTAAGCAGCAGGATCTGGCAAATGCCTGCCAGAAAATTACTCTTCTCCTGGCTCATGCCACAACGGATTGAATCAATCAGGAACGTTTTATTTCCTATTTGGCTTAGAGCGACGATAAAATCACTCAAAGAAAAATATAGTGGACGATACTTCATTAACTCTAACACCGGCTTGTAAATGCGCACTCAATTGATTTCAGCAAGCTGCTGGATGAACGAAAGGCATTTGTAAGAATTCTTTCTATGAGTGCAAGAAGCTGGAAAGCTTCTTGAAATGAAATGATCCGACAGGCTATAGCATCAAAGTTTTGCCAGCAAATTCTCATGCCACACACGGTCAAAGGCCTTAGAAATATCAAGCGAAACAGCTCTTGATTCTCCATGTTTCTCGATTGCGTTATTCCAAATATAGGTGATATACGATAGAAGGTCGCCTGTTGATCTTTGTTTCCGAAAGCCATATTGATGATCGCTCAAGATGTTGAAGCCTTCCAAATATTTGATGATATGATGGTTTACGAATTTCTCCATTTCTCCATTTTTGATATCACTGATAGCAAAGCGACTAATATAAAGTTGAAAACATGTAATACAATATCTTAGCTCTAGCCGTGAATTTACATTTCTCAACATATTTTTTGTCACTGACAAGATTTGCGAGATCTTCTGTGGTTTTCCCGTATGTTCATCAATATTCATACAGTTTCAGTCATTGATGCTGTTGAATACACTTTATTGTAGTATGCTGGGAACAGTTTTTGAATTTTTCTTGCACTCTGAATATTTCGAGACCATTTTTGTTCTTTCGAATGAGAATTCCGTTAATTTTCAGCTGACTGTGTTGAAGTCAGAGAGTTTAGTTTACATTAACGAGTCTAGAATGAAGTAATGACTCAAGTTAATGATTGCCTGTATTCTCTACTAATTAAGAATTGCTGATAAGATCATTTCCATAATATTGCACAACGTGCATCTACTTGTGTCTAGCTTTCACTAGTTTGATCAATTGGCATTTTACTGTTGGAAGTTTATTGAACAGGAAAACTCACGCTGCGTATCATGAGGATTTCAATGATGATTGTGTCATATTATTTTTCACAATCTGAAAAATAAAATCCCAGAAAACCGTATCAATATATGAATGAGCAGATCATTGAGTCTTGCTCCTGCTATAATATGAAAAACAATACAAAATCTGTTGGAAACATGTATTCTAAAGTCGAGAGCATTTTTCATGAACTTAACGATGAAGTTTTGCATTATAGTCTTGTTATAATTACCGATCAGAGTTGTAAACAAAATGTCTATGTGAGTTTTTCGATGACGTTTATTTTTGTTTGTTTCCGTAGCAACCAAACCAAATCATATTGGTGCTGAAGGGGCAATTGTCTTATTCCGAAACAGCTGATGTCCACCATTGTGGATGACAGAGTTCCACGTAAGTGAAATTTTATCTCTCTCATATACTATATTGTGTAACAATCTTGTGAATGATATCTGATTTAATGCCGTAACGAATGTTTGGAATACAAACTAAGTAGAGTATAGAGTGTTTTCTGTATAACTCAGTGTTTATATAATAGTATTTGCTTCGAAACTACTTTTCTTTCATGTAATTCAATGTTTATCTGGAAGTAGCTTTTTTGAGAGGGATTTTTCTTGCAGCTTATGTCTGAAAGTTACTTCTTCGTGGAGTTTATTTAGATTTTTTTTGTATGAAGATATAGAAGTATAAAAAACCTTTCTTTTTTTAAACTAATGTGTCACTTTTTGTATGATAATTGGACAAATATTAATATATATCTGATCATTCAGCATCCTGAATGATCAGCAAGATGTTTTTTAATTTCTATATATGCCAATATATTTAATATCAGACTTTTTGGTTGAATGTGTATAATTTAATTCCTATTCAATCAAAATGAATTTACACACATTCGAAACCGAAACTGTAGAACAGAACACGAATAACATTATTGACGTTTATCGCATACCTTGAAAAAACTGTAACATGATGTACATTGGACAAATCCAACAGTATTTAAAAAAAAAGGATTGAAACAACATAGATATGATCCTAACAAGAAAAATAATAACGAAACAGAAAAAATTATATACCAATATAGGTTTTTATGTCCAACTTTCACTGAATATCTTGTAATAACCAATATAATGGAAATTTTTTTAAAAAAATTTGATTTTTCATTCTGAATCGATGTTTTTGAAATTTTACTGGGTCCCTCATTTTCGAGTTATGGATGAACATTCCATTTGTTCGAATTTACGACGACACTTCGGCAAGTTGCTTCCAAATTGAGCAGAGCGGGCAACAATACCAAAATTACAAGTTATTCGCAAATTAATAATGAATGAAGAATAAATATGATTACATCGTTTGTTATTACAACCACTTCATTAAACTAACACGCCGTATATTGGTCACATTGTATCCGATTTCGATTTTTCAATCGACGTTGCGAAACTTTATTGTTTCATCTTCAGGACTCTGAAGTGTAAGAACAAGACACACACATTAAAATGGGCCTCCGGAAAATAATTTTTTGAAAGATTTTTTTTAATTTATTTATTTATTTCATACACTATTCTACAGGATGAACCCAATTACAGAATAGGAAGTAACAGTAGCATTTACAAATATGTATTTACATAATATAATTTGTGAATCTATAAAAAAAAATTAAAAACAGAACTGTCAGTTAGCTAAGAAATGTCTTTTGATTTGTATAATCTGGCAGTTGAGTATATCTAGGACATGACTAACAGAATTAGAGGTATCGCACATTGTACAATTGGAGATTTTCTCATTATATTTGTACGTGGAGTGTTGAGATAAAATGTGACACTATTCCTAGATGACCGTCTAGGAACCCAAATATTCAAATATGTAACATTTGAGAGCAGGTGATGATATTGTTTATGACCTTGAATAAAAAAAGAAATGAATAGTATTTACGCCTTACCTCGAGACTACAAAAATTGTGAGTTACAAGCAATTTATAATAGGGTATTCCTACAGAAGGATATGTGCCTTCAAGTTTAAAAGACATATATTTTAGGAAGCGCCTCTGTAGGGCTTGTAGTTGATTTATATGAACCTGATAGCAGGGACTCCACACGACAGATGCATATTCCAGCCTAGATCGAACGATAGTGAAATAAAGTAATTTCAATATTAAAGCTTTTTCGAAGTCTTTTGTATTTCTAACTGAGAATCCATACATGCGATAAGCTGCTGTTAGAGTAGTGTCAATATGTTTATTGAATGAGAGGGATGAATCAAAAGTAACACCTAGATCAGTGAGTGTGCCAGGACGCTCCAGAACTTGATTGTTTATGACGTAGTTGTATAAATTCAAGTTCGTTTCCAGTGAATAAAACATTACATTACATTTGGATATGTTGAGAGATAGATTATTCTTCCGACATCATGTAGCAACGCGATTTAAATTCAGGGCGAGACTTCGCAATCATTAGAACATATTATATTGTGATAGAGTTTCAAGGCATCTGCGTATGAAAGGAAATTGACATCAATCTCAGCTCCGATATTATTAATGAACATATTGAACAATAGGGGTCCTAGGGGAGAATAAACGCAATAAGCCCAAGAAGTTGCAGTGTTTCCTGGAGACTTGGACGAAATGGACAAGTCAGACAGCTCCCAATGTACCAAAACAAAAAAAGGGTCCTAGATTTGAGCCCTGTGGTACACCAGATGTGGCTATATATTCAATAGACTTGAGGCCATTGAGGTGGACGCTCTGGACGGTTGTAAAAATACGATTTGAAGTGGGTAATTAATTCATTGGATAACCCAAAAGTCGAAAGCTTGTTGAGCAGGATACTATGGTCAAGTCTGTCGAACGCTTCAGAAAAATCAGTGTAGATGACATCAGTCTGAGACTGAAAATCAATACTCTCTGCAATACATTAAGTGATTGTTACAAGATTGGTGGTGGTTGAACGTCCTTTCATCAAACCGTGTTGATTGGGGCTAATAATGTTGCTGACATGACAATAGATTGTCTTCTCAAGAAGCATCTCGGAAAAGTTGCATATGATAGAGATTGGTCTGTAATTTTTTATCTCACTTGTATCCCTTTTTTGAAAATTGGGCAGACTTTCGACGTTTTCCATATGCATGGTACAGTCGATGTTTTCAGGCATATATTAATTTCTGGTTCAACCAGAGCTAAGGCACAATGTTTAATGATGAATGCTGGAATTATGTAAAATACCAATCGTTAAAAAGCATTCGAAGCGTTTTATTAATTCTTAACGATTGTTATTTCACTTTTTTTTTGACAAAACCACATTCTAGAATCCCATTTTAATATGTATGTCTCTTTCTTATACTTCAGGTCCCGAAGACGAAACAATACAGTTTCGAAACGTCGACAAATTAGCCATTGTTTTCGTTCAACATTTCGACCGAATTCCCGCCAACTTAACAATCGAAATCATATTTAACAGTCGCCATCCTATTCAACTATTGTTTCTAATAATTTTTATTATTGACCTCCGCCCCTCGACTAAATTGAAGATATTCTTTGCCATTCGTTTTTCATCTGATGATAAAAACAGTCTGAAACACGAAAGTCAATGTCTTTGTTGTTAAATCTCCAGCCTGAGTAGATTCATGTGAAATATAAAGGAAACAAAATGGTGAGAAGTGATGATGGAGATATTTTTAGATGCCAGATTGGAAAAGAGGTATGTAGTACATTGAATTCACCCACATCGTGAACCTTTTTCACAATTTACTGTGAGCAGAGCAAAAATGCAGAGAAAAATGTGTGCGGGATGGACTAAAGCAAATAGTCCAGTCATATTGGGGATTTCATTTCGGAATGAGACATAATGAACTGTAAATTCGTATACACCGTTATTTTGGCGTTTTCAACGTTATATCGAAAGTCTAATTGAATCTCGTGTCTATGCAAGTAGTTATTCAAAGTCAAAAGTAGAAAAAATCAGTTTTTCGGGATTATCTCGACTTTCATAATATTCCAAAGATGTTGATATTGGTTATGAAATGTGTAGAATGTAGAATTTACATCAAATTTGGTTGAAATTGTTTTCATATGCCCGAGTTTTTAGTTACAGGGCGAAGAACCCACAGCTCTCAGCCATACTGTCTGTGATGCCAGGTTAACGGTCAATGTCAATGTATATTATTTATACATACATTTTTATTAATTATAATGTTTTGACTAACGAATAATACAAATTATTCATTGTTGATGAAATTTCATAAATTTATCAACTTCATACAGAGTATTATACATTGAGATTCCATTATTTACAAAGTTACGGCCCTTCAAAGTTAAGAAAAGGCAATTTTCCAGTCTCCATTTTGACAAGGTAAACTATTTAAAAACACAAGCAATTATTCACTAGGTCACCTTAACACCTTATTACTCTTCAATTGACACTTTTCAATTGAACAATCAATTTTTCTTATAAAAAACTCAATTTAAAAACGAATGCTTCTTCTGGTGACCTTCTTCTATTTCTTGGTTATTTACTAGTGACTTTTCAGAAAAAAGCGGATTGTATTTGTCGTTGCCCACTATTTCAAATTCGTAGATTTGGATTTTTACTTTGACCATCCACTTTGATGTCCAACCATGCATCAATCATAACGCATCATTTATAAAATTGATTAAAAAATTATAATTTAAAAATTTGCGTGTAACTCATTCTCACTAGGATTATTTTTCGGAATATAAGCTGCTATTAGTCCAGATCACTCTGTCAAGTTCTGATTATTGGAGTCCTTGGTGGAATGTTCCCTCTCTACTCTCGAATCTTAAAATTATACCGGCTTGCCGCACAGAGGCAGAAATCTCAGCCGCACAGATGCAGAAGGCTGAGTGGGGAGTGGTCGTTGGTTGATAATGCTGGCGCGCCCTCCCAAATGTATCGGGGCTTCGGGGGATAGGGTCTGACCAGCGCATACTACGGTACAAAAAAAATTATAAGAATAATATTTATTCATCTATGATGCATAACAAATAGAATCAACATCTTTAAGGAAATGATAAGTAAATTGCAAATCCACTGAGGGTTTAACTCTGTGAGTGGTTAAATTAACAAATACGTAATCATGAAAGTCGTGTCAGTCAATAACTATCTCTTTGAAATTGATGATTACATCAAATCATCATGGTTCATGGAAAAGTGACATTCACGTGAAGGTGCGACTTTTGTGAAACAAAAATGTAATAGATATGTTTTACTTCTTTTCTACCGAGTATATATTGTAATTTTATTCAAAGAAAAAATTACCAACTCAATAAAGTACATTCCCTGAAGAAGCTTTCCAGTGACAGGCGAGAGCTTGGCAAAATCCATAGAATATAAGTGGCAAAAGTCAACTGTGCATAATTAACCAGTCTTGATGAACATTTTAATATCCCAATCAAGATAAAGTATACCTTCATGTACCTGGAAATGTAAACATCGATAAACTATTGATAATGTTTGTTTCTCAATTGAAATATCGAAATAGAAATGAAATTCGCAAACTCTTTGGAATCGAGAGTTTTCATTTTGAAGTTTACATACCTTCAACCTCTGAGATGAAAATCAAGGAAAAACCGCAACATTCTATACTTTGCAATGTTATATTACAAGATGAACAGGTAGATAGATTAATTTATTAACCTCTGATAACACCAGGCGGCGTATCCTGTCAAAAGGTTATATAAGGACCTACCTAGACTGATAAGTCCTTATAATACCACGTGTATCTATTTGTCAGTGGATATGTTCGTTTTGATTTTTGAATAAACAATCCTTGTCTTGTGGTGACCACAATGTATGTGTATGGACCGCAACAAGAAAACAAAGTGCTAGGAAACTGGCAACAAATGTTATTGCACGAAAAAATTTTCCCGAATTCAAGTGACAGTGAAGAGGGGATGAGTTCGGGTTCCAGTCATTCTCATCAAGTTGTAAGCAACAAAAATGTAAGTTATTTGATATTATATGTGTGACTGACGACTTGTTAATTGTGTTTTATTGAAATGAATAAAAACACTTTTGTCTAATTATCACAAGTTAATTTTATAATTATACGACCGGTTTCGGGTTTAACCCTCATTATCAAGTATAAAACAGTTTTATTCTTGATAGTGGGGTTAAACCCGGAATTGGTCGTATAAATGAAATTAAGTGGTGGTAATAATACAGAAGTGTTTTTATTCATTTCATCAAAGCGATTATTTGATATCATCTTATTCAACTAATTGAATTACTTCTTCAGATGATTTTTCTTGTTTTTTTTTATAATTTCATGATTTGTATTGTAAAAACATATAAATAAATCGTCTACGGAAGAGTAGAAGGACCTTACTAGTTATTCTTTCAATTTATTTGGCACTTTCGTCTGTGTCTGGAAGTAACTTCTTTCCATGTTTTAATAGTTCTAGTTGAAAATGGTGAAAAGTAGAAGAAATGGTCGGAAAAATAGGTGCGATGGCCGAAAGTAGGCATCGGCGGCTAAATTTGTTGATGCGAACGCGGCTTCTGAAGGTCACAAAAATAATTTTTGTCAATTATTAGATAGTGATTCGAAAATAAGGGTGTATTCTGAATACTACTGGAAATTTGTTTATACAAAATTGTTGAATTTATAAACCATAAAATCATTGATGATTTTTTTGATAATTTGTAGAGAAATGTCAATTATGATTTTCAAAATAGAAAACGTTTCTCAACTAACTATTGAAACATGTAAAAAATACGAAAAAATTATAATCTCCTCTTTAAGTTTTTCTAAAACTTCCCGATTCTATATGGTTTTTGAAATGTTTGCAAAACCTAAATGCCTTTTTCCAACAACCTTTTTTGCTAACGAGTTCTGCAATTACTTATGTGCTAAAAAACGGTATCAGCACATTTTTTCAGATATCATTTTGGATCAAATGAGCCAACGCACATATATTTCCGATGATTATCTCTATTTTTCATAATTTTCAGCATATCTTCGTAAATAATCTATATTGAACAAGATTGCTTTATTCCTTCACTCGGGAGTTTTCCATAATTTTTTGTATGAAAATGAGAAGTAATAGGACATTCATTGAAATTTCTGAAACAACCTGAAACAAAATAGTAACACTACAACCTTTTACCTCAAAAACATCACTTTTTTGCAATTTATCCAACTTTGTAGAATTCATCGTAAATTAAAAATTTACTTAGAAAATAATGCGTTATCCATGGTATGAACAAAAAGCCAACCATTCTTCATTGTGCAATTTTCAGTTTAATTTGAAAGGTTTCAGATTTATAAATTCCATCCTGGAAATTTATAATCTTGAATCCTAATCCGATTTGAAGGTCGTATAAAACGAATAATTTACCTACTTTTCCACGAATGCTAGAAACTGGTAGTTTCTGTTCTAGCAAACATTTTTGTTGGTATCAACTGTCAATTTTAGTGACATTATTCGATGCCTAGACATAAAAATTATTTTTAATGCCAAGACAATGAAAAATAACTTTTTATTTTTTCGAAATCGTGCTCTGTATAAGTACCCGACCAAAAATACCCTAATAAATTAACTACAAAAAAAAGTTACTGTAAATATAGTTTTATGGCAAGTATAATTAGTATCCAATACTTATAAGACAACGACAAATTACCGAATTTGATTATAATTTCGACTTTCAACATTAATAATTCAATGAAAACACAGACATGAATAGAACATAACAAAAATGTAATTTTCTGATTGATTCGGCCGTTACTTGATGAAAATCCATGGTAATTTAAGAAATCACACCGGAAACGATTTGTTCCTCACTATTTCCAAAAATATCACATATTTTGCTATCACAGTAACTTTTTTGTAGTGAATAACACTTAATAGTATGTTATTCACCACGAAAAAACTATTGTGATAGCAAATCGTTTTCGATGTAGTTTGTGAAACAAAAATGTAAGCAAATGAAATTCTATACAGTGCATTTCTTCAATGTCCTCCCCCTTTTATTTTCTCAACGGGTCAATCAAAAAAATTGGAATTTGGGGTGGTGAAAATAATGCATAAATACTTTAAGCGAAGTGAAATTAACAGATGAAACTTTCAAGATGGCGACTGGACGCCATTTGGGAAAAAAATTAATTTGAAATGGGGTTTTTTGACACAGTTTTTGAAGCTCCTGACAAATGCTTCACAACCCTAGAAGATAATGTCAATATGTGCAACTACTACAAAATGGCGGAACTTTCAATAATTGCCTCAGTACATTGACACTTAACTACATAATATGAGGTAATAAGCAGAGGTGGGTTCAGAAGATGCTCGAAATGGTTGCCTTGAACTTCTTGACATATGAACAGCCTATCCGATATTTCACGCCGAACATTTTCGAACACAGTAACAATATCTCTATAAATATTCAATATTCCCTGCCGTACATTCAATATTGAAGCAGGTGCAGTTTCGTACACCTTTTGCTTCAGATAGCCCCATAAAAAAAGTCTAAAGGTGTCAAATCTGGCAAACGGGCTGGCCATTCTGTAGGACGTCAACGGCCAAACCAACAACTGGGAAAAGTAGTTCACAAAAAGTTTCTTTCTTGTCTGGAGTAATGTGGTGGTGCTCCATCTTGTTGGAATACAATATCCATATCGAATTCATTAGGATTCGTTTCGACGTTTTCAGTGATGAGAGGGTCAACAGCAGTTTCCAGAATATTCAAATACAGTCTTCCTGTGGAATTTTGATTCGTAAATAGAGATCTTACAATATGGTTTCCCAATATTCCTGCCCAAACGTTAATTTTTTCTGGATATTGGGTATGTGTTTCCTGTCAAACATGAGGGTTTTTGTCACTCCAATAACGGCAATTTTGTCTGTGCACATTGCCGTTTAAAAAAATTGTGGAGATAGGTAGGATGCCTTGCAACGGTTTCTGTCATGATTTCGCAGAATTCTGTTCTTCGATCAGGGTCATCTTCAGTTAATTGAAGTACCATTTTAATTTTGTGTGGATGATACCTATTCCTCTTCAAAATCTCCACACAGTAGAAGGAGACACCTAACAAACATTCGCGACGAAATGAGTAGACTGTTCAGGATTTACTATCATCTCACCAATCATTTGCACTTGCTGTTCTTCCGGAATGGACGGATGACCTGGGGGCTTTTTGTTATGTACACTACCGCTAGTTGTGAGTTAAAAAATCCTCTCGGTCTCGTGGAAGTTACGCGTCGCACCGTAAATAATAATCGCTTCAATTTTTCCTTCCAATGAACGAGATTTTTGACTGGTACCTCTCTACTAGTAAAACAAAAAAGTAAATGAGACTATTCAAACCGAACAATGATTTTCATTGTCGTACTGACATTTTGTGTCAGTCAAAAAATAACTCAACAAACGTTACCGGGTTGTTGGAAATGCCACATGGCAGATAAAAAGGATTATTTCTAGAAAAATCGATATTACTGTGTTTGTCTTCAGGAAATTATCAAATGTTCCGCCATTTTGTAGTAGGTGAAGATATTGACTTCATATTCTGGGGTTGTGAAGTATTCGTCAGGAGATACAAAATGATGTATCAGAAGACCCCCATTTCCAATAAATTTTTTGTTCTAGATGGCGCCCAGTCGCCATCTTGAAAGTTACATCTGTCGGTTTTAATTCAAAATAAAGTATTCCTGTATTAATTTCATAATCCCAAAATTTCAATTTTTTGAGTTGACCCGTTCAAAAAATAAAAGGGGGGCATTAAAGAAATGCACTGTATATAATTAATGATTGTTGTGGATATTTATAGTATTGTGCGAGCAATTTTCCAAAATCATTCTCCTGGCTTGATAATCCATTTTTCTCTTTGCAATTCTATTACAGCCAGCGCCAAACGTGATGGCGGCGATAACAGAGGTATAGACTCTCCCAATTAAATTAATTGGGCCAGTGTCCTACCTATAATTAGTTTCAATTTGAGTAGCAGATGGAACATGACTTCTCTGTGATTTCCCTTCATATTTTTTTGAGTATTATAGGTAATAGTACAGTTCATGGAAATGTTATATAATAATACACACTTGGTGACTGATTTTTTTAGGTAATGACAATTATTTAAAAACATTACGAATTATTCAGACGGCAATCACCAACAGCATTGGAGGACAAGTAACGATACGCCTCGGTACAAAGCATTTGTATGTCTTATAAGAATTGTAGTGGGGGTTACATTGTAAACGAGTTTGTACGCAAGGGTGGGCTCGCTATCACGTTCGGCGCTTGCTGTATTATTATTTTCTTTCAACTGTGAGAAAAGTCTTTCACAAACATTTTTTCTTGCAACTATAGAGACTAGGATATAACCTTCGAGTATTGTTGATGATCTCCAACCCCCATGCATTTTTAACGTGGTTATATCTGCCCCATGTTGTTTGTATACCCTATCATTAGTGATTTTGATAAGTAATCAGATAACCAGCCTGATAATCTACAATCTCCATATTTTCTGTAGAAGTATAAATGTTCCACTTCAATAAATGAGAGTATTTTTTCATCTTCATGTCCCCTTATATCTTCAATTTGATCTTTTTCTATTTGGTGCTCATCACCTCGACTTGCTTACCATAGGCCAAAAATTAAAGCAGCCTAAAATAAAAAAAATGTTCGCATGAAAGTAAATTTAAAAATTTTTCAATTTCAAATGTTTATTTTTCTGTATAGGTCATTATATATCAAATTTTATTCTCAGTTGTTACCTCATTTGAAAAAAGTGCTATGATGTGGGAATGATTTCACTAAATTAGGTGAGGTAGATCATCAAGAAATGAAAAAAGAATCTGTTCTACTTAATTCACATGTTTGCTTTCATTTCAGAATGACGCTGTGTCAACCCTTGCGGAAGTAATGAACCACACTGTTATGAACCTTGGCTGCCCTAACAATGATGTACAAGTAAAGAACAATGCTATGAACTTTGGCCACCCTAACAACGATGTACAAGTACAGAACAATGCTATGAACTTTGGCCGCCCTAACAACAATGTACAAGAAGGGAACAACGATGTTATGAACTTTTTTCGCCCTAACAACAATGTACAAGTACAGAACAAAAATGCTGTGAACTTTGTCCACCTTAACAACGATGTACAAGTACAGAGTAACAGTATTATGAACTTTGTCCGCCCTAACAACGATGTACAAGTAGAAAATAAAAATGCTATGAACTTCGGCCACCCTAACAACGATGTACAAGTGAAGAAAAACAATGACATTAACTTTGGCCGCCCTAACAACGATGTACAAGTACATAACAACGATGCTATGAACTTTGGCCGCCCTAACAACGATGTTCAAGTACAGAACAACACTGTTATGAACTTTGGCCCCTCTAACAACGGTGTACAAGTACAGAACAACACTCTTATGATTTTTGGCGGCCTTAACAGTGATATAAAAGTACAGAACAATGATACGAACTCTGACGGCCCTAACAACGATGTACAAGTACAGAACAACAACGGTATGAACTTTGGCGGCGTTAACAATAATATAAAAGTAGAGAACAATGTTATGAACCTTGACGGCCCTAACTATAATATAAAAGTACAGAACAATGTTATGAACTTTGTCGGTCCTAACAACGATATACAAGTACAGAACAACAATGGTGTGAACTTTGGCAGCCTTAACAATAATATAAAAGTACAGAACAATGTTATGTACTTTGACTGCCCTGAAAACAATATGCAATCACAGTACAATGTTGAACACCCAGGAAGTTTGCCTGGACCAAACCCAATCAGTAAGTTTGATTATGAGAATTCTTTTTTTTTCAGACCCGTTTTTTTTTAGTGGAATATTTCAAGGTAGAGTCTATATGTCTAAACATAGTATAAACGGAGTAACTTGGAGTAGCGATTGCATATTGAATCACGTGTTGTTTTGTAAACTAATTTGTCAAAAACACTACCAATAGATTATTATCGATTACGTTTATAATAGGATCTTTCATTAGGCACCTCCTATCTCTAAATTCAAATAAAACAAAATATGTGTGGAACATCCAATTTTCTTTGACTTTGACGCTTAAATCGAACTGGATTCTTCTGGAGAAGGAAATATTAGGAGCAGATAGTTGTTGCTTCACAGATGGATCAAAAACACCTTCCGGTTCTGGTGCAGGTGTTTTTAGTCGCAAACCCAGGACAGAGATATCAACCTGCCTAGGAATCTATGCGACTGTATTTCAAGCGGAAACGCTATTGAATTGTATGCGGAGAGATTGGAAGAATCCAACCTCATACAAGTCAATAAAAATATTCTCAGATAGTGAAGTGGCGTTGGAAACTCTTGCCTTCTACCGACCAACGTCTAAATTGTTAGCAAATTGCCAAAAACGACTCTCCTCGTAAGGAAGACTCAACAAATTGTATGTGGTTTGTATTCCTGACCATACGGCCTGAAAGGCAATGAGGCTGCTGTAAAGGAGGGTGCTGCAAGCAGCTTCATCGGACCTGAACTTGTCATTGGCATTGTTTTAGGCTTTGCCAAATATTGAACACCTGGAAGACCAGAAGGTTTATGGACTTCTGGCAAAATCTTACAGGATTGACTCACTCCAAGGCGTTTATTCATCCTTTGAAGCTTCGATACCAAACAGTTGTTGGACTACAGTAGGGATGAACAACGATGTCGAACAGGCCTTCTTACAGATCACTGTCGTTTGAATCATCATATTGAGAATCGGACTGTCGGAAGTCATTGTGTATCACCTCTGTTTGGAAAATGATGAAACAGCACAGCATATACTTTGTGCCTACCCCACTGGGGACCGAATCAGGTTTTCAGAGTTCGGCAAAACCGTGCTCTTGCCATCTGACCTGAAAGACCACACACACCATACAAACTAATCGGTTTCGTTAAGAAGCTGAGTTTATTTGGTCGAGTGTGAATAGGTGTGAGTCACATTAAACCCTTGCGGGTTGCGGCGGAGGGTCGAATAGACCCACTCATTTTGGTCCAAACCCAACTTACGCTGGCTTTGATGACCGCTGTGGTTTGTGGCTTATTCGCATACACCTGTGAGTTGAGAAAAACCCACAAGAAATAGTCTAACGGGATCAAATCGCACGATCTCTGTGGCGGATTCTTCGTGCAATGACCATGCCCTCAAATCGCTCGTGCAGAATATCCAATGTGGCATGAGCTGTGTGGCACTTAGAGCCGTCCTGTTGAAACCACATGTTGTTGGTGTTCAGATCATCAGATTGAGGCCGGAAGAAGTTGGTAATAATGGACTTAATTCATGATTTTTGGTTTATAGTTCTCTTAGTAGAAATTTCAAATTGATAAACAGTGCACTTTGTTTCAGCTCTCTGAGTAGCATAGTTTTCCCGTAATTAATTATTAAAAATCGAATGTGATAGGCTAGTGACGTCACGGACCTATTCCCGCTTCTTGTTCGATTGACCAATAGGAACAATAGAAATAATCAACATTGCCAAATCGTAAAATTATGGAAGTGTATATGAACCCGTTAACGTTTCAAATAATAAAAAATTCTCCACATAAAATAAAATGTACACGAAAAATCATGTTTGGAAATAAGTTCTACTTCCAAAATCAGTACAAAAAGTCGAAAGATTACAAAATATTTACCTAAACTATGATTTTATGCATTATTCAATAATATACTGTTATGAAAATCAAAAAATATAGCAAACAGGATCAAAGAATCATTTCAAATATTCAATTCATTCTACAATCCCCAATCTGTACAACTGCAATTTATTATAAAAGAAAGATTCCTACATACATACCTAATATTGCTATTAAATTCAAGTGTTATAGACTCGCTTGGGTAATCTGTTGAATCTCCCAAAATTTGAGAGGAAGGTTGAATGAGGTCAAGAATAAACAGAATTTATTGTTCTCGAACTGATCCAACAAAAGCTTGTTGGATCAGTTCGAGTACAATCAATGCCACCCACCAAAAATAAGGAATTCAAAGTTACTGGTATTTTAGTCATATTGTCATCCAGTCAGTCAGCCAGCGCCCTCTGTAGAGTATGCGACAATGTGCTCTTTCTAATGTCAATGGTTTCCACACATAACTTCGTATTTTTGATAAAATGATTTCTAAATGAATGTTGAGCCTAGTATTGTTAAAGCTGACTCCGACAACTTACCAAGAGTCGATTTCGAAATGATCGATGAATTTTACTTGAAAAATTTGCAATACTTTGATACCGAAATGAAGTAGGTCCCTTTTATTCATATGACATTTGTTTCAGACTTTGTCTTTTATTGAAGGATGGAAAGTTTTGATTTAACTTTTGTTTAACTGGAGAAAAACCATAGATCTCTTAGAGTTTCAATTTTTGGAACACTGAAAAACTTTTTGTCCGGTATGGATGATCTGTTTTTACAACTATGTATAAAATTCAATCCAAAAATAATCTGAAAAAATATTTTTCGGAATGTAAACTAATGACACGGAATATGCAGCAAAATTGGCATCCGCCAAGACCTATACCTTTTACAAAAAAAAAAACCTTCTTCAAGTTGATAATTATAACAGTTGTATTCACACCGAGTTGACAACAATAACAACAAAAATGGCGTCTGTCAAATTGGATCATCAGATCTGTGATTGGATATTAAAAACCAATACACTTGGCAACCCCGTTCTAGACACGTTCAATTTTATTGGTCAACAGACACCCGGCCAATTTAAATTCTTGCTTTTCGAATCGTTCTTTTTTCTGTATATATAAAGAGATCTCGGGACCGATTAGGCTTGATAAGTATAATATACCCCTAACTCGATCAGTCTATAAGCAAACCAGTATCATTTTCTATAGCATGAAACAGGCCGATTGACCTATAGTGCCCGCCGTTGACAATGATGGCCTGACCAACTTCGTTTTCAAAGGAATCTGGACCAATGGTGTCGCCAGTCCAAAATCCACACAGAACAGCGACTTTTTCGGAATGCATTGGACGCTCTTGTATCTCATGTGGATATTTTAATAGAACAATTTTATCATTTGCACGTGTTGTTGAATGCTATACGCGTTCATGGTGATTTATTAAATTAGGCTGAATTAATGACGAATAATTTGACAGATGTAGCTTTTTATAAAATGACCGTTATCAATCGTCCGAAGTTCCTGTTGGAAGACCCTAGTAAAACTAATTCAACTGAAGGTTTTGTTTAAACATTCATAATACTTTTTTTTCAGATAACGAGAATATGCAACCTAGTTTCCTGATCCCATCATCTCCTGGAGCAATTCAAACAACCTCTCCAAAAAGAGGACGAACCGTATTCAGTTCCTCTCAACTAGCTGAGCTAGAAAGACAGTTCCTCTTCAATATGTACCTCAGTCGTCCAAGAAGGATACATATCGCCCAGACTCTAGGTATACAGGAAAAAAACGTAAAAATCTGGTTCCAAAACAGAAGGACGAAGTACAAAAAGGATAAAACGCATTTGTTTCTATCAGAAGAAAATCAAACCTACGGTTCCACTCCAAGGAAGAAGTTTCAACGACTAAAATCGGAAGATTCGGAGATTGTTGAGCGTCTGCTAACTCACTCTGTGCTTGGGCAGCATAACCAGCAATCGCAGAGTATCGCAAACATCGATAACAATTTTTACTATGGACACTCGATGGCACCAACAAATCAGAGTTCCGGATACCACAATCCATATTACCCTGCTCATAACCCATATTTTCCTCAAATGAACCCCAGTTTTAAAAGAAATTATATCCAAGTCGGTACCGGGGTACCAAGAGTACCAGGGGGTATCAGAGGAACTTATTCACCTCATGTTGAAATAAAACAACAAAATAATACCGAATTCGTCACTGAAAATCATATCAATGATGAAGTGAGTACATTTCAAGAGAATGTATCAACCGGTGATGTTCCCGCCGACTGGGACGGGAACAACGTAAAGCCAAATGACGTTTAACACGACTGATAAATATGTGTTTCTGTGAATAAACTCTGGCATTAGTATAAGTATAGTAGATAGGTATTATTTATAGAGGAACATAACTATTATTCATAGAGGAACATAACTTTTCTATATAGAGGAACATAACTATTCAACATAGAGGAACATAACTATTCTTTTCTTTTCTCACAGCATGTGGTTCTTTAGTGATTATTCTTCTTTTTATTCATTATCACTAACTTTCAATGGTCTTAAAGTATCAACATCATCACTTCTACTACAAATACAACGTATTTTACGAATCAAATTTTCATCATTTCTACAAAAAACTGTATTGAATCACATTCAGCCTGTATTTTTTACAATGATACAACAATTCTACAGTAGATCAACAAAAAAATGGTAAAAAGTAACGTACTTATCAATGTATTCAAGTTACACTTTATTGTACATGTAATTTCCACTGGACAGTTTAAAAAAATCGCAACACGTGTATGAAAGAATTAAGAAAGCAATTGTATAGCAAAAACACGTGTTGGCTGGACCAGTCTGCTGTAGTTATCATTGTTTTATCGAATTTTTTATTAGTCAGATTCATTTAATAAGAAATATTTGTCATCCAAAAGAATATTGTGAAACTAAACAGTACTATCCTCTGTACCTTTTTCAAGATTCGAATAATAGTACACTATTAACTAAAGAACACATTGCTGCCAAATATTTTCTTTCTCGATGTAACATTCATATCATAATTAGACCTTTGTATGAACAGAAAACTGATTTTAAACACTCAAGTGGAATACATATTGATAACACTTAACACTTGTGATGCACTGTTTGGTACCTTCAGTTCCAAACTACGGTTTTTTCCCAACACCAAACCGTTATTTTACCACCTCGACCCGTTTTTCGATCACCAAGAGTTTGATCTTTCTCTTGAAGATGATCGCTTGGTAATCAAAACTCGTGTTGAGGTGTTAAAATAACAGTTTGGTTTTGGGAAAAACCTCCAGTAATATTCAACACTTAAGTGAAATGCTTCGATATAATTTCTCCGCAACTTCATTCAATATTTTTTTCTAATTTCCATTTGGATACATATGAACCTTATTTCTCTCACTATGAGCCTTTGTCTCGGTCTTACAATCAACAACAGTAATTACTGATGCATCCGGTAATGGAATTATTGAAAATATCAAATAAAAATGAAAAATCTGTTCAAAAATGTAAATGTATCAATGAAAATCCATATTTGTAAGTATATATGGTTACTTAATGATTTTATGTTATGACATTTACCAACTTATATGTCATAGCACAAAAATTAATAAAACTCGACTGAAACGACGAAATTGTTTTAATCAGGTCAAATCTTGGCGTAACCATAGATAGCTCTTTGTCTTTCTATGAACATGTGACGGACATTTTCAAACTATCATTCTTCAAACTCAAATCGCTATACAAATTCAAGTATCAGTTATCAGAAAAAATGAAACTCAGGTTAGTTAAAACTCTTATGTACCCATATATCGAGTACTGTTGTTCGGTGTATTACAATTTTATGCCGCAATATAGCAAACAGAAGTTACAACGTATACAAAATGCTTGCATGCGATTCGTATGCTGTATACCTAAACTGACCATTTTTTTTTAATCAAAACGGGACGTCCATATATAACATAACTATGTATGTATACTCCATGCAGTATGAATCATACTCCATACTGTATCGACTCATTAAAGCACCTTTTTCACTAGTTCGGACTTCCATTGTCTACTATATAAAATGATTTCTCTCCGATAATCCTCTGATGTAGGGAAGTGCAAGCACTGGTTGTGACGGCTTCTCTTCCTTGCGAGGCTCCTGCTGTCTTCTAGCCAAAGTCTTTTCTACCATCGCTTTGGAGTAGCCATTCCGTTGAAGATCATTTTTGATGATGTCTAGTTCCTTCTCGAGACCTTCCTTCGTATTTCAGAGCACAAAAACACGGTCTAATAGAATCTTGATGATTCCTCTTTTAATCGATTGATGGTGGTTGGATTCGTGGTTCAGATACTATCTCGTATGAGTGGGTTTTCGGTATACAGATGTTTCCTCTTCACCATGTCGGTCCTCTTCACCAAAACGTCTAAGAATGGCAATTCGTTGTGGATTTCCTTCTCCATTGTGAAATTGATGAAAGGTCTCACGCTGTTGATGTGTTTATTTTGATTAATATAATTGTTACTTTCAGCTAATTATTTTCAATTCTTCTTTTTTAGTTGTTTCAGGGATTTCAAATCATTTTATATAGTAGACAATGGAAGTCCGAAGTAGTGAAATTCATCATGAAACATTGTCAATCACCTTCAAACAAAAAAAAGCATCTTTCAATAATAATAATGATAATTCGTCTTTATTATTTCCAATATTAGGTAATTAACAGTTTAATACAAAAATTTTTATTACAGGAAACTGAAAGGTGTTGTTCAGTTCATTTTCATCTGAGAGCGATAAAAATACTCTGTTCTTTCACTTAACTTCGACAGTGGTTAATGTGACAGTAATTATTAAACTATATGCAACATATTATATTCTTATTCGAATTTATATTTTTTGAAGGAACAAATTTGCTTCAATAAAGATGGTGATGATTTTAAATAAGAGTGAAATTCTTGGCACGTTTTGTTTACATTGATCTTCGTTATCAACATCGCCTTCAGAACTGAAACCTGCAAGTGATTTTTTTCAGACGTCCATAATTTATTTATTGAAGAAAATAATCTCTTTAATGGAGCATTTGTACCAGGTAGACATAAAATATTTTCAATTAAAATACAAAAATTGTCATGTTGCAGATCGTTGGTCCGAAAGTGTTTGAATACAACGAGTTTCTGTGTGACCTTTCAAATTATTTCATTCTGTAATTTTTTGTGGAGTTACGAAGTTCACAATTAATGAAAATTCGTCAAATGTATCTTTGGCACTGTCAATATATCCCTTTTCAATTAATCTTTCGTGTAATCTAATGTTCATATGAAAATTAACAACCCTAGAAAATATTGTCAATATCTTCAACTACTACAAAATGACGAAACTTTTGATAATTGCCTGAATACATTGACATTTAACTACATAATATGAGGTAATAAGCTTGAGGTCAGTTCAGAAGATGCTCACTATAGTTGCCTTGAACTTCTTGACATATGAACAACCTATCCGATATTTCACGCTGAATATTTTCGAACACAGTAACGTCAATATCTCTACAAATATTTATTGTTTTCTGCCGTGTATCCAATATTGAAGCAGGTTCGGTTTCATACCCTTTTTCGTTTCAAGTATCCCCATAAAAAAGTCCAAAGGCGTCAAATCTGCCGAGCGGGCTGGCCATTCTGTTGAACCTCGACGGCCAATCCAGCACCCGGGAAAAAAATGTCTTACTTGTCTGGAGTAATGTGGTGGTGCTCCATCTTGTCTGAATACATTATCGATATCGAATTCATTAGGATTTGCTTCGACGATTTCAGTGATAAGAGGGTCAACAGTAGCTTCCAGCACATTCAAATACAGTTCCCCTGTTGAATTTTGATCAATAAATAGAGGTACTACAATATGGTTTCTCAATATTCCTGCCCAAACGTTAATTTTTTCTGGATATTGGGTATGTGTTTGCCGGAAAACGTGAGAGTTGCTGTCACTCCAATTTTTTATAAACAAAAAATAACTTAACAAACCTTATCGGGTTGTTGGAAGTGCCATATGGCAAATTAAAAGGAATATTTCCAGAAATATCAATATTAATGTGTTTGTCTTCAGGAAATTAATAAATGTTCCGCCATTTTGTGGTAGGTGAAGAAAATGAATTCATATTCTAGGGTTGTAAAGTATGTGTTAGGAGCTTCAAAATGATGTGTCACAAGACTCAACTTTCTATTAAATTTTTTCCCCAGTTGACGCCCAATCGCCATCTTGAAAATTTCATCTATAAATTCCAAATAAATTCCAAATAAAGTATTCATTACATTACATTACAATAAAGTATTATCATTATCACAAATATCAATTTTTTGAGTTGACCCCTTCAAAAAATTAAAGGGGGGGGGCATTAAAGAGATGCATTGTATTAAAGCAAATCGTTATTTCAACACCTCGACATGTGTTTCTATCAACTAGTGACCATCTTCGAAAGGAAGATCAGAACACGTGTCGAGGTGTTAAAATAACGATTTGGTGTCGGGATAAAATTTCAGTAATATCCATTACTGCACCAAAAGTTCCTGGCACAGCTATTTATGCATCAAATAATCATATACATACAGTGTCACACATAAAGTCCGCATCAAATGGGATTTTTTTTGTTCATCTCTTCAAGCAACTTTCGATATCTCCATTAGGTTGTGCTTTAAAAATGATGCCAAATGACATGCATATGACCGATCAAGTGATTTTTCTTCCCTGTCCAATTTGACATTTTTTCCAAAAAATGTTCAGAAAAGCAGTTATTGCTCGAAATTTCGAAAATCGGTAAAGAGAAAGATGATTGTTTTTTCATTTTTACCCATATACCAATTTTTAGCTCTCTAGTACAAATTTAGTTTTTTTACAGTTTTTCGAAAATTTGACATTTGCCGATTTCTCAAATTTAGCCAAACCTCAACAAAGTTAGTGCTTTATGCCTAACTTATCTTTCGAATGCATTTTTATTACCAATTGCAATTCTAAATAGAACTTATTTCGCAAAAATTTAAAACACCAGAAAAAATGATGCCAAAAATGATGCAAAGTTGATACAGTTTTTAAAAACAGATAAATATTTCACTTTATTTCTACTTTTTGCGAAATAGCTTGATACATAAGCATAATTAAAAACCAATATCAATGTAAAGTCAATGATTTATTCTTTACTGCACTTTTCAAACAGTTAAACTTTGATTTACTCATTACGAAAAATTACAACGCAATTAAACTAAGGGAAGGAATCATACGAAAGTAATTTCACATTTACTAAATATCTTTTATGAGTTATGAATGAACAAAATCACTTCAGAAATCAATTTAGATTTTGTTGCCTAGAAAACTAAACCGTAAAAAATTCTAA